TTTTTTTAGAAATTTGCGATTGGAATAGTTTGCACTATTGAACTTCTTGGCATCTTTTCTGCTCTACGACATATTTCTGATATTCCATGTATAACGATTGAAATTTCAACTGAWTTCAGAAACAACAAAAATCTACTCGTGTTAAACTTACCATTTCAACAAGGCACTTATCTAATTTCAAAATAAGTCCACAAAATGAATTTCAAACAAATTGTTTTGAGGTCCGTCCGATAATCAATCAACACAAAACAAAATAATTCTTTATTGTCGGTATGTTAAGCAGTTCTTTGTACGAGAAATATCCTACAATGAAAAAAAACAATTATTAGTAATGATTATAACATGAAATGAAAGAAGACCAACATCCTACAAAGTTCTTAAACTAATGGAGTACTAAATTTCCTTTTATCGTTAAGAAATAAAAAAAATCGGAATTTCATCAGTGCATGTACGCGATTCAATTAAAGTCAAATTCTACTGAGAGTATAACGYTCAGCAACAATTTYTTACCTGACAGGSKGACTCTCCAGGTTCGTTGTATGATGTCAACGCTCTTCTTCTTTTTGGTCTTGACTCGCTAAATCTGAAATAGAATCGTAAGTCAGGAAAACGTAATTCAATATGTACTTTGAACAAAGTTTTTAGTTTTGCCCATGCAACTATCTGTCTTCATACCTTATCTTGGGGTGTTTCACAGACGACAACGGCCTCTTCTTTTCTGTTATTTTCCGTGGTCTTCTTTCGTGCTGATGCAKGTTCYTCAAGTTTTTGAATAATACTTGTCTTTGCTGGTATATATGGAGGTCTCCAACAAAAGGGTGATGTAATAGCCAAGCACGAGAATTGTACATATCGCAATCGGCATGGGCAAATACAATTGCGTTATGTAATACTAAATAACATCATGATACCAAAATCAAATACTAGGACAATAGTGACCTTAATAATCTCGAAAATCCAGCATCATATACAGTGCATACCATGTAGAGGGATTAACAATGAAATCCCCAAGGCATACCTAGCTGGTGACCACGATTTTATTGTGTTGATATTTTCATTTCTAGAAAAAATAATCGCTTTTTTTTGATCGCAAGACATTGATAGTACAAAATCTATCAGCCAATACTTCCTATTTTTTATTTACTGATCCAAGCAGTGCGTAAGACCGAATCATTTGAAATGTTTTGTATTGTCCGTTGTGATAAATTAAAGAAGCCCCCAGAGTAATCAAGTCATTCTTCGAATCCAAGGTCAATGATTTGTTAGCTCGTTTAAACACTAGGATTAGTCTTGTCCGTTATGAAATCCCTAAGGTATACCTAGCTTGTGGCCACTATATTCTTGTGTTGATATTTCTATTGCTAGGAAAAATGGCTTTTCWTCGAGCGCAGGGCATTGATCATACAAATAGTACAAAATGTACCAGCTAATACTTCCTATATTTTTTTTAAGGTCCAAGACCGAATCATTTGAAATGTTTTGTATTGTCCGCTTAATCATTCAGGGTATTCAAGTCATTATCCATTCTACACAGAAAGGAACTGATAAACAGCTTATTTTGAATGATGGGCAATTACAGCTTTGATTACTTTTTTGGCTTGTTAAAAAACTTGGATTAGTCATTTTGTTCTCTATAGAAACAAATATGATGAAATACGGTTTCAGGTTTACGCATCATTTATTGTAATTCAATTCCCAAACGATCATTTCAAATTCACGTCAGCTTCATTCAACAAATTAAAGAAGGTTGTCTTGATAAAAATAGTCATTAGCACTGATTCAGAATAGATTTTATGATACAAAGAACTATTTGAACGTTCAAACTAAATTCTGCAATGAAAAGGTACGATGAGTCCATATTTCATTTCATAAAATAGTACAAATGTGCAAAGTTTTTCAGATTTTCATTTTCGAYTCGTGTGTAGTCTTTAGATAAAGGTTTCCCACAAAATGACCAAACGTCGTCTCCGTCTTTGCTGGTATTGTTCTGGTTCAATTATAACAACTATTACTCCCTAAATATAGACTGATAGCTGGAAACTGTTCTTATTAGGTGCACATGTCACTGACGAGGTGTAGAATTTGCTTCAATGCATCTTTTTGGTTGATTTGAATGCTCATGGTATTGAATCATAGGGTACAAGAATAGCTATTTCTTTTTGAAATTCCTTTCACACTCAAACGAAAATAACTCTGTAAAGTGCTACTGTGTACCAGTCGCAGCAATAGAAAACAATCAAGAACCACTTCGTGGAACATACTGTGTACAGGATATGCTAATATATATATTTACCAGCGCCGCGATCGATTTGATAGATTGATTTGATAGATCGATCTTTTCACATCATTTTTTTGAATGTTTTTATCATATTGCTGCGAAAATTTAGCATTCAGATTGCATTCGCATTATCCTCAGTGAATTTTTAAGATTAAAGTTTACTTTGCATCAAATGATTTTAGAAAGAAAAAAAGAACGACGATATATTTTAAAGTTAAAAAAGAAAGAGAACAAAAAATTTTTAAAAACTGGTCGAGTCGAGAATCGAACACGAGATGTTAAGTTCAATACCGCTATTCAAGTATGATCTTGCGTGTAAAGAAAGTGAAACAAATAACTACAGGAAAATAAGAATAAGTAAATTCATTAAAGAAAAGAAGGAAAGAAAAAAGAATCGCATAGAAATGATCGAGTTAATCTGTGTGATCCTAAGTTCGACGCTACTCGAGTACGATAGTCTTTGTAAAAAATAAAATAATGGCTCGAAAACAATTGTTAAACGATTAATACCTACAGAAGAAAAAAACAAACATGACCATAACAACTTCATTGCAGTTAAAAAGAAACAAAAAATGAGTCGAGAATAATCCAGTTTCGAATTCTCCAATGCTCTGTGTTAGCCTCATTTGTGCGCAAAACATTCCTAATTGTGAGAATAAAAGTGTGAGATTTCAAATCAATTCCATTGTCTTTCTTTTCAAATTCCATGCGTTTTCTCGGGCTATCAATGAAACAAAAGATTATGTTGCTTRGTTTTGAGGCTAACACAGAGCAAACCAGAACTCGAAATCGGAGTATTAAGGCCGCGAACCTAAGTTCGACGCTACTCGAGTATAATATTCTGTCTAAAATAAAAAAATAATGGCTCAAAAATAATTAGCAAAAACATCTATAGAAAATCAAGAAGACTATAACAACTATATTATATTTAAAAACAAATAAAGACAAAAAAGTGCACGAGACAAGATTTGAACCCGCGATCCTCTGTTTGACGCCGCTGTTCGAGTACCATCTTGTTTGTACGTCTCGTAAATATTAACGAAACAAATTGCTACGATAAAAATCTGACATGACTAGAACACCTATATTTCAGTGAAAAAAAGGAAAGAAAGAAAACGATATTTTTTCAGACGTGCTCCAGTCGAGGATCGTACCCTGAAACTCTGAATGATGGGTCCCTTGGGATTGCTAAACTGCGACGTGGAGAAAATAAATACATAAGATTATAAAACTCATTAATATTCATAAGGCAAAACACAATAGAAATCATAGCCCATGAAGAGAGTTGTATATTACATACAGATCGCCCGCTCATATTGTATATATTACATAAAGTGGCTGCATTTTATAACCGTGCCGGATGCCTTCGGCCTGGACACGGTAATGACATCACAATCCTTGCTGGGATTCAAAGCCACGGCCCTCGGATTTGTACTACCGATGCTTTACCAGCTGAGCTACAAGGTCAGGTAWCTCATAGTGGCATGCGGTCCTTACATTCATATGTTTTTAAATGTATTATTTATTTCAAATTTACTAGAAGTTCAAAGAAAGCCGATTTCCGGCCGATTTTGTAGGCACCTAGAAAAATTAAAACAAATCAGTCGACAATGAATATGAAAAAAAAAACTTTTTTTACACTTTTTCAAAGCCGTACTGTATAAACTACTTTGTACTTGCAGAATCTACCAAGATATTCATTTCATACTTGCAGAGCATTATTTTGTAAGCCAAACAAGTCCTTTACTTTAAATTTTAGRTTCAGAAACTATAATGTTATTATGTTACGTCATCACCCAATGTTGGAAATTAATTTTTCCGGATTGATTTCCAAGGGTCTTAAAATAACCTAGGAATAGCCTCCTTCCTAGCACTATAGCTCTCTTTTGGGGGAAAATACTTCTAAAGGCACTTATAAAGTTATAATGCTCATATGACAAAACACACCAGTGAACCGAGCTTTAATGACTTAAAGTGGAAGATCTTACATACCAACCTACACAATGTACGCGAGCGAAGRATAATAGAAGCCATTGAAATAAAGAACACTAGCTCTGACACTATTATGAATGGCTGCGTTGGACGCTACTTAAACATCTAATAACTAATGAACCTATAATATATTCGCATAAGTTTTGTAATTTATTCAAACTAGCCATTCAGTTGTATCCACTGATGAAGCCTGAAAAGGCGAAACGTATGGAATAAAGCTATCAACTTTATAAGTGCCTTTAGAAGTATTTTCCCCCAAAAGTRTAGTATTAACAAGGCATGGCA